ATGTAAAGTAATTCACAGCCTCTTCCCTCTTCTCTCTGTGAGGAGCAGCAGGTTCAGCTTTCAGAACAAAGTAACAAAAAACTAAAATGGCATTCATTTTTTTAAATATGTGGTGTAGCAATAGATTTATTTATTTGTCTTCTCAAGAGAGTACCAGAATGTGTATTTTATGTTAGTATTTCAAAAAATCTCCTTGGGGAGAATCTCCCCAGACCACCCTTCAGGGGTTGGGTTTTCAGTATGTCAACTCTTTCACTTGTGGGGAAATTGCAGGATTGGCTCCAGGTCGCCCTTTTTATTTACTACAAGACAAATGTGCCTTTTTATTTCATACAGTTCAATTTGGATTGAGACAGGGAAATAATCTAAACCTCACGCGTGGCGTTTCACTGTCAAGGGGAGCGGGTATGTAATTACATTGCAAATACTGATTTGAGCCCCACCACTGTATGGGTTAGCCCTACCATAGATTACCCAACACAAATACTCCGGAGCCGATAAGTCAATTATTTGCTTATCGCGACAGGCACACAATAAAACAGTGGAAACAATGTGTTTGACTTTCATTAGTGAAGGAAACTGTGTGCCCTTTATAGTCTGTGTCCAATATTGTGTATTTGTATATATTGTATCCTATATATACGCTAAGGTCCCGCTGCTAACACGATAGCAGTCATTTTGTGCGCATATGTGTAATTAAACCCATGATATCAAAATCTCAGTCCAGCCAGGTACCCAAAGTTGGCAACCCTGTCTTATTACAGACACATGCATTTCCTAACATTCGGTCTATATGCTGTAAATGTATTATCTCTTGGATTTATACACGGCATCTATTGCACGTCTGTCCGTCCTGGGAGAGGGATCCCTCCTCTGTTGCTCTCCCTGAGGTTTCTCCCATTTCTCCCTTTAAACTGTGGGTTTTCTCCGGAAGTGTTTCCTTGTACGATGTGAGGGTCTAAGGACAGAGGGTCTAAGGACAGAGGGTCTAAGGACAGAGGGTGTCGTATTGTCATACTGATATTCTGCACAAACTGTGAAGTCCACTGAGACAAATGTAACATTTGTGATAATGGGCTATATAAATAGTATACACATTTATTGATTGACATGTTTTGTATAGATATGGCCCTATAATATATAGTTCAGTTATATCATAATACGTGAGCTTTAACCTCTTAAGCCCCAAGCCTGTTTTTCAGGTTTCAGGCTCGAAAATGACATGCCCAAAACAAAGGACTATAAATTAACTTCTAAAAGGGTTATATGAATAATTTATTTTATCAAAGCAAGGTCACATCTGTGAGTTGGATGTAGAAGTGTCAGAATCAATAAAGATGTTTCAGTGTCAGAGTAAATCCAGATGGAACATAGTCAAAAAGTGTACATTTTTGTCTCCGCCCAAATAAAACCCATTACTTATAGTGAAAACCACCCTTGAATGATGGGTTAGTAGCCTAAAAGCTTTAGGAATCCAAAGTATAACATATAATAAGTACCCTGTATCAAGATTGAGGCAAAACAAGTGAGAATTGACCTTTTTAGAGAGATTTAGCAAAAAAAAGTCCAAGCAGACTAAGCTTTGGGCACATTTGGGTACATTTGGTTCCATCAGTGCCATTTAACCTTTTTCAGGTACCAGACTGTAAAAATCATTGTACAACATTTAATTATCACTATAGGTATTCATTCCATAAAAAAAAAAAAAATTATTGTTAAAAAAATAAATAAAAATTAAGTGGGTGTGTGTGTGTGGAGTGTGTGTGTGTGTGGTGTGTGTGGGAAGTTCCCTCTTTGCATGAGATGCATGTTACTTGCACAATAAAAATGAGGAAACGTAGGAAACATTTGACTCCAACTGGAGCAGATTTATTAAAAAAAATTAGCAACACACTATACAACAAGCATTTTTTGGGTAAAAAAAAAACTTTATACAAACCCTGAATGTTACAGTATTACTCCAGTAAGTCATGCCATGCCCTGTAAAAGTTATTTTTGGTAGTGAAGCACAGAGGGACCTGACACTTCCTGCAGTACACATGTGTCTTCACCCTTCAGTTGTCAGCATCAGAGCACCTCCTGCAGTACCTCCTGACCTTGGTGGCATCTTCCCCATAATACTCGGGCATCCAGACGCCATATCTTCATCGCCTTCCTCACTGTGATAATGTGGAAAAAACAAATTGATTAATCCTCTGGCTTGTACTTTCAAAAATGTAACTCAAATCAGAAATAATTTCTCTACAACAACAGCAGAACATCAATTTTGAGTGTGTGAAATAACATTATATCACTCAAAATGTATACCGTGTAAATTATGTGAGACAGGGTTCATATAATCTGTTCAATATTTAATATTAATATTCTGTCTGTCATATATATGTGTATGTATATATATATATGTATGTATATATGTATATGTATGTATATATATATATATGTATGTATGTATATATATGTATGTATGTATATGTATGTATATATATGTGTATATATATGTGTGTATGTATATATGTGTGTATGTATATATATATATGTGTATGTATATATATATATATATACGTGTGTATGTATATATATATATATACGCGTGTGTGTATATATATAGTTGTAAGTCACTTTGGATAAAAGCGTCAGCTAAATGAAATGTAATACCGTGTTAAATTCAACATGTATATGTCTTGTTTATTTCAACAACAAGAACAAGAAACGGCATCCATCTTCTTTGTTGTTGTTGAGTGTGTGAAAGAACATTATATCACAAGATGGATGCCGTCGTGTTATTGTCACGTGTGTGAAATTACTATAGATGAATACACTCTTACACCAAATAAATAACAAAAAGATAAAAACAGATGAATACTCTTACACCAAATAAATAAGTAATAGATACAAACAGAGAGAATCCATACCTTTCCGGTGACGGAGGTTCATAATCAGAGTCATTACTGTCCCCTTTGTGCGTGACGAGATCACTATCTTCCGACGGAGAGTCCTGAAATACGATGTCCAATGCCTCCTCGACGGACAAAAAAGTCTTCTTTCTGGCTGCCATTGTTACAATGAAGACAAAGAAAACAAATCCTGCTGTTTCGCTGATCTATCTGCCGTTCTCTGCTCTCCTGTCGCCGCGGGACATCCTATGCTACGCTATAGTCTAGTATACAGCGTACAAAGACTGGGTCGTGCGTAAATCAGCTGATACAGCCTTTATTTATACTTACGCAAACTCCTATCTCTGGAACCCATTGGTCGATTTGGGTGATTGACACCTTTTTTGAATCGTTAGAGCCAATCGAATCGAGTAGCAGTTTCAAATTACGTAAATACGTCATGCCTGTGGAGGGGGAGCTATGCGTAAAAAGCAGCTCCCGCAGCTGAATCCACGGACTGTTAATCGTTGGACCTACTCTTCTGCCGTGAATGAAAGGATTGATTCTCAGTAATCATTTTAAAGTGACAAGAGACATTGGATTAACCCTGAGCAGCGTTTTTATTCCTTTGAACACAACTTTTGATCACAAAACAGCCAAGGTAAGACCTAATTATTGTCAGGGATTTGAAAACTGATATTGTTTACTTGCTATGTTGTGGCTGCCAGCTCGGTTAATGTTGTGCCTGTAGTGATGGGGTGTACACCCATGGAATCTGTGGAATCTCAGCTTTCAGAAAATGTGTTGTTTGTGCGGAAAGGATGAATTATAAATGATCGTTTTTGTGAGTTATGAGCAGACATAGCAATTGCCCGTTTTTGACATGGGGTCATTTAGAGGCTTCTTGTGAGACTTCTTTTTCGATTTTTTTTTTCTTTTTTCGTATCGTCAGTAAGCCAAGTTTCCTCCGGTCAGATGGGTATGAAATATTAATAGTTTCATGAATGACACTTCAGATATAGCACTGTTGCTACATATATAGCATTTTCGGACCCGAGCTCGGGTCCGTGGGGCTTAAGAGGTTTTAAGATAAGATGTACTTTATTGATCCCAATTTGGGAAATGTTTGCGTTGACAAGGCATTGCATATAAGATAAATTTAAAAGAGTATAAATAAACAATTCTAAAATGTAAACATAAACAAACCCAGCAGCAAAGAAGAGAGCACTGGCAACCACAGACTGGTAGAAGATCTCCAGCATCTTGCTGCACACGTGGAAGGATCTCAGCTTCCTCAGAAAATAGAGACAGCTCATCCCCTTCTTGTACACAGCGTCAGTGTTGATCCTCCAGTTCAGTCCGTTGTCTAAGTGCACTCTCAGGTACTTAAAGTCCTCCACAACAGCCTCATCCTCTCCCAGAATGCACAGGGGCGGAGGATATCAATGACCATCTCTCTGGTCTTGGTCAGAAGCAGATGATTTTAACTGTATTTGTTCTGAAAATACAGAAACACTTCACTGCAACGTGGCTGCGTACTGTCGGCTCGGTCTGCATAAATACTCCTTTACATTCTTCGACTTGCATTAAACAATAAAAACATAAAATATCCTGCTTGCAATTAACCTGATAAGCACACATTAACAACGTATTATTTATTTAAAGGTCATTAGACTTCAGTCATCAGTCCGTATAAGCTTGCAGGTGACGCATTGTTTCATATGACACACTCGTCATTTAACCGGTTAAAGGTCCCCTATCATACTGTTTCATCAATACATTACAGGTCTCAGATATATACAGAGCCTGTCTCTGATTGGCTGAAACATCAAACAGATCATTGCAGCATTACCCATAATCCCCTCTGTTTCAGCCCTGTTTCCAAAGTGCTGATTCTCTGTCTGTTACTTTAGATGAAAATAAGGAGCCCCTCCCCACGCCCCTCTGAGAGAGATTTGGTGTATCAATCCACTAACCGGAAGTCCGGTCAATTTAAATGACTGCATATAGTCCCCTGATCCTCCATCCTGACTGTTGGCGAGACTTAACAACCTTAGAAATGTCAAAAACAACCAATCAATCAATTCGATGTATCCCGTTACTCACATCCTGTTTCTTGTCTTGCAGGAAACGCCTTCGTGGTGAGTCTAGCTTTCGCTGACCTGGTCGTCGCCATCTACCCGTACCCGCTCGTCCTCTTTGCCATATTTAACGACGGCTGGATCGCGGGAAACATCCACTGTCAGATCAGCGGCTTCCTGATGGGCCTCAGCGTCATCGGATCTATCTTCAACATCACGGGAATCGCCATCAACCGCTACTGCTACATCTGCCACAGCCTCAAGTACGACAGGATCTTCTCCAACAGGACCACCATGTGCTACGTGGTGCTAGTTTGGGCGCTCACCATTATCGCCATCGCGCCCAACTGGTTTGTGGAATCGCTGAAATACGACCCACGCGTTTACTCCTGTACTTTCGCCCAATCCGTAAGCTCTTTTTACACCATTACGGTTGTGGTGGTGCACTTCATTCTGCCCATTAGCATCGTGAGCTACTGCTACCTGCGCATCTGGATCCTTGTCATCCAGGTGAGGCGGAGGGTGAAGCCGGACACGCGACCGAAGATCAAACCGCACGACTTACGTAACTTCCTCACGATGTTCGTAGTGTTCGTGCTCTTCGCCGTTTGCTGGGCGCCGCTCAATTTCATCGGATTAGCGGTGGCGTTGGACTCCCGTTTGGGCGAAGCGATACCGGAGTGGCTGTTCACGGCGAGCTACTTCATGGCGTACTTTAACAGCTGCTTAAACGCTGTCGTCTACGGAGCCCTGAACCATAACTTCAGGAAGGAGTACAAGAGGATCGTCATGATCGTCTTCAAGTTTCACTGCTGAGACGAAACGCAGAGGGGAAAGTTAAGGTGGCTGACAGGTGCTTACACGCTACAACGACCCAGAACACACTGCAGCTTCAAAAACGATGCAAATATGAAAATACAAATGTTGCAACACACATGAAGACACATCTTCAGCAACTTGACAACCCATGCAGCATTTTAGAAAACATTCAGCAACAAACTCAGTTGGATATTTTACAGACTTGAAATGTTGATGTTGGATTATTCATTGTGATCATCTTCTCCCCGATGCATAACAGTTTTCTACTGAGTTGTTTTATGACCTAAACAATTACGTCAGCGCTGTTTCTATTTACGCAGAAGGACAGAAAATGCTGCGAATGAATAATAATGACTATTATTTTAAAAAGAAAAAGAAATATTAAATAGAATATTGGTGCTTTTTGAATATTTATTTATGTATTTATTTAAGCAAGGATCTCATTCAGACGATTTATGCCAGATTTCAGCTAATAGCTAATTTCCATCTGCAGTCCTGAGGTACAATCAACAAACACTAAACACATTGCATAATCTCTATCACACTAACAATTATAAAACAAGATTAAAATACAGGTCAATTTTAATGACTGATTGAACCACAGCAATATTGTTTTAGAGTTTTTATATGTTTAACTGCTATGCCTGTCATCTTTGCTCTATGTGTTTGTGTTGTCTCCTGGGTTCTGTAGAGCCCGGAGTCTGTCTTTTTTTCTTCCTCCCACACCCCATCCCCTCAGGAAGCCTTTGCCTCCTGTCAGGTCATCATTGTAAATAAGAATTTGTTCTTAATTGATTTTCCTGGATAAATAAAGCTTCTACTACTACTACTACAATAAAATAGTACATAGTACAGTTAAAATATAATATTACAATTAGGGCTGTCAGTCGATTAAAATATTTAATCGCGATTAATCGCAAATTAATCGCACATTTTTTATCTGTTCTAAATGTTTCTTCGAGGGATATTTTCAAGTTTTTAATACTCTTATCAACATATGAGTGGACAAATATGCTTTATGCAAATGTTTGTTTATTATTATTATTATCATTTGAACAATGACAAATATACTCATGAATATTAAACATAACAACCTCTGAACATTAAAAATATACATATACACATACACACACCCTCCCGGTCCTCCCGATGGCCAGTCGGTGCCTGCCGGTGAGCGTGGAAGTGTGGACTGCCGCAAGCGGAAAGGCAGGAGCGGGGCTGTCAGCATCAGCTTGTAGATGGTATTTTAAACTCGATGCGCTCTGAAACTACGGGGCGGCCGAGGAAAACAATTACACATGCGTTAATCGCGTTAAAATAATTAGTGGCGTTATTTTTTTTTGCGTTAACGCGTTATGTCCTTGGCCGCCCCGTAGTTTCAGAGCGTAAAGACTTGTCAAGCCTAGCACAGAGCTGATGCTGATAGCCCCGCTCGTGTCGCTCGCTTGCATGGGGCGTGGGGGGGGGGGGGGGGGGGGGCGGGGTGCTAGTAGAGCCTCCGACCCAGTCTCACAAAAAACGTGTAATAAGTCCACAACGTAGGACGTAGTATTTCTACAAAAACGCCTCTGAAATTGTAGGATTCCTACGTTTTTTTTTCACCATTTATTTCCAATGGCTGGCGTCTATGTCACGTGATCTTCACATTTCTCCCTGCAGAAAAAAAAAACATGGCCGACATTCGTTTTATTCTCGGTGGATGATGCCTATTTTAAAGTTAGTTTGGCCATTAAATTGCGTTTTGATGTCATTTGATGCGAGAAATATGAGTTGTTATTGTTAGAAATTAAAATCAATATGTAATGATTAAACATACAGTAATTTAATAACTGTTTTATTGTGAAAATACTTCCGGTTAGCTTTCGCCTGTGGTCAAAGTTTATTTTGAAAAGCTATTACGGAAAGGATCTCCGAAATACCAACAGTAGCTTGACTTCAGGTTTTACGGAAAACACGATTACAGCCGTTAAAATGTATTAAATAAAAAGTCATGAAAGAGATAAGGAGGAGAAAAGGGGTGTGGAAGTAAGAAATTAATGTAAATGTCGAAATCCTCTGTTATGTGCGATATCGGACATTGGTGAAAGGAGGGCGGAAGATTACGTCACGGCCCCAGAGAGGAGGAGCAAAGGGGGATGCAGGCAGGCGGGAAGAACGAATGTGTGTCGGGCACTGCTCCACGGCGGCCACTGCGAGAGGAAGCTGCAGCCTTTCTCTCCTCAATAGGCTTGTTTGAGACAAGCGAGACCTGCGCAGACCTGCGCAGTTGCGATCAACGTCTTGCTAGTGCGTTGCATGATGGTTAGTCATTTTGTCCGACTTGCTCTGGAGGCTCGCCTACATGAGACGTTGAAATCTCGCGGGACAAAGACGCCCGCAGCCTTGACGGAGCGTCCACACAGCAGCGTGCGTTGACGCTTGGAGGTGGGCGTATCTGAAGCTTGGGGATTTTTTGCGAGCAACGCGACCAACAACCAATCACATGAATCTCCTGCCCCCGACATACAAAGCAATAGCAATGTTAAAACGAAGTAAACTGGATATCAAATCCCCAAACAGGCGAAAACCTACCAGATTCACCCACTGTCTCTGCCACCTCCCTCCATGCCTCGCTCCTCCGGTTTGTATCCCGGTAGATCAACAGAGACTGATCATACAGCACCGGGTGATTCCCTACCGCTATAATGAATTTTCCCTCCATTTTTTTGAATATGAGGAAATGACCTGCGTAGTCTCTCCCAGCATACACGCGGTTTGATTGGCTAGTGCTTGTACTGGCAGATTTGCATAAACGGGATTTCATTGGCTGACGCCTCCGTCGAGGCGTCAAAAGTTGAACATTGCTCAACTTTTGACGCCAGCAACGCTCCACGTCGCTTCCCAAAATGCAGTTCGGCTAAAAGTGACGTCACCCCATTCAAAGTGAATGGGCAGAAGCGTTGGAAGCTTCAACGCACGCCGCTGTGTGGACGGGCCGTGAGAGCGAGGTGCGGCGAGGTGGCGCAGTTCCTCTCCACGGGCTGCGGAAGCGAAATGCTTGATGGGAAACGACTCGCTGGTATCTCGAGCTGAGCGCTCATTGGTGGTTTTTACCCCGTGCTGGTGATGAAACTCTCCAATTGGCTCGGCAAAAGTTTGTTGTTGTTTTGTGTCAGTTTTACGTCGCCACTTCCATTCACATTTTTCATCATTGTTCCACAATGTTTATTATCATGAAATGAATATCTATATATTTTATACTATACTTGCACTGCTTACCGTTTTCATACTTTATATATCTTAGCATATTCATACACACTGTTCATGCTGCTCTCAGGCTGCTGTGTATATCTAGTGTATTCATACCCCTCACTGTTTATTCATCATTCAATTCATTCTATAGTTTATTCTGTAGGTTGTGTACATTACTTGTCACTTTACTGCTTGTTGCACCTGGTTAGAAGCTAAAGTGCATTTCGTTGTCTCAGTACCTGTAATATGTGCAATAACAATAAAGTTGAATCTAATCTTGAGCAGGAACAAATGTATTTACTTAGTACATCTGACATTAACGATTAAACACATGTGTGCATTCTTTATAAATGCAAACCGAGTCAAGCCGACTCCGGAGGTGGCAGTATGCACCTTAAAGTTGTTTGCAATCCGCCAAAAAACCGAGAGAAGAAGAAGACGAAGCCGACTCCGAGCTGTCCGACTTCAGGCGAGCTTTTTGAGACCTCCCCCGGCTGCGATCGGCTATTCTCGTCTACTTTCGAGGCGAGCCGCAACGCGTCTCAAACAAGCCTAATACCTTCTGTCTGATTCATTACCGCGCCATTTTAATTAAAATACCCATTTGAACCTTATGCCAGTGCATTGGTGTCATTTATCCTAAGCTTCTCTCCTGGACGCAAGAATAACAAATACCCTAATATTATTTCAGATTATGTGTGCAGTGGATGTACATGATCTTTAGTTTGCTAGTTATTATGAAGATTACTTCAGGAAATTGTGTCCATTCAACGTTTTCATTGTTACCAAGGTGGTTGCTAGGGACGCTATCGATATTATTTCTGTTATGTTGTGTAACGGTTTAATGGTGTTATCTTTATTGCTACCCCCTTCCCCGTCAATGTATAGTTGCAACCAGTGGCGGCCGGCCCATAGGGGCGCTAGGGGCGCCGCCCCACCTCTTCCCACATACAAAAAAAATATTAAATTAAAAAATATATATTTAAAAAATATATATATTTTATATTTTTATTTTTAATGAACAAGGTAAATATCATACAATTGGTATCAGTAAAATGTATAATCTACAATAAAATCTCGTTTAAAATTGTGTTACGATGTCTAAAGTTACTGATAAGTCACATGTTTCCTGCCTGGCCTTGCACGTGGCATTAGTTTATCATTACCGGGCGGAGCCCCCGAGCCAAACAGCAGCAACCAGCACATTGCAAAAGTCTCAATAGTAAACTGTGCCGCCGAAACATAATTTCAGCCAATCAGCACCGTCAAATATTTTGGTCACGAGGGCGCTCACGTTGGCGCCCACGTTGCTTACGTGCGTTGACGTGAGTTGTTTTTTAGAATCGTGAGTGACCAAGGTGACGCAGAAGTTGGATGAGAATGGTGTGCAGGTGGAGTCGCTGGACCTCGGTCCACACCCAATTCCGTGCAAGAGCTACTCTCCAATCCTTTCGAAAGGAGAAGTTTGGGAGATAAACTGTTGCTTAAAGACCTTGGACCGGACCAACCCGATTTGTATATATCACAGCAAGCTCGTGAAAAAGACAAAACGTATCAACGAGGCTTCTCACGTAGCTGGTACACCAGAAAGGCATGGCTAGCTGGATGCAAACAGGTAAATGCTATCTTTTGTTTCCCATGCTTGCTCTTCAAACAGCCGGGGACAGATACGATCTGTTCAGAAACTAGACAAAAGTTAAACAAGTACAAACCACAGACTGTCTGTGTCATGGAGAATACAGTCGCTGGTTTATTTATGTCTGTATAGGCCGTTGTTGTGAGTGTGGACGGTCGGAGCATATATAACGTTAGCTTAGCCAAGCTCCATTCAGAAAACAAGCATTCTAAAAGGTTTTTCGCCTGCCGTCTGTCTGCAGACTTGTCAAAGCATTAATTCATGGTTTTTACTAACCGGTATCAGTATGTTGTTACGTCGGCATCATTTAGAAACGTGTAACGTACATGTGTCTTTATATTTTTTTCTCACTGGAAAGAGAAAGCCAATAGGATGGACGGGTTCACAGAGTCAGAAATATGACTTTTGTCTCAGTAAAATAAAATATAAACTTGATTATTGATTTGAGCTTTGACAGCAATAAAAGTAATAAATGTTATCTGCCATCTCAAGGTGCTCGAAACATATTTTGAAAAAGCAGAACGTACAACACAGACAATTTCTGACAGAAAATGCTCCGTTTTAGTTTAATACACTGATTTATAAGGTTTTAATGGTTATTATGGTCATTGCTTTGAATAATTATTAAAATTGTAATTTTTACATGTTAAATGCTTTGGTTAAAGGGCTAACAACATACTTGTTAAGGACTCAACATTTGGGACTCGTGAGCTGTCTCACCTCTATCTTCACATCTTCATCTCTTCTACCTGGAACTGGAACACATGGACTTCTGGACCAGAAAAACAGACAAAATATTTTAACCTGCCCCGAGCCTGTTTTTCAGGTCTCAGGCTCGAAAATGACATTCCCAGAACAAATGACCATATCTTCCCTTCTAAAAGGGTTAAATTAATAATCTTTTTTCTCAAAGTAATGATAAACCTGTGAGTTGGATGTAGAAAAGTCAGAATCAATATAGATGTTTTTTATTCAGATTGAACATAGTAAAAAACTGTAAATTATAGTGTCCGTCCAAACATTATTTTTTACTTATAGTGAAAACTAACCTTGGATGCTGGGTTAGTGACTAAAAGCTTTAGGAATCCA